AGGGAGGGATGTTCGCTTGTAAACATCCCTCGGAAGACAAAAGAATCCGAGGTGATCATGGTATTACCTCAAAAGTAAATCATTRAATTATAAACTTACCTTTTGTTAGTCTATACACATAGTTTGTATGTTGCGTACCAACACAAACAGCCTGGTCTTGATCATTGCACTGCTTGTAGGTTCCATTTACACATTTGTCCGCATTTCCATGCTTTGTATAGTCACCTTCGCCGCTCCAGCATTCACCATAGAACTGAAGACCAAAAATTTCGTGTCCTTTCTCTCTGGATTTAGCAGCACATCTACATGCAAATCTACAGTGAAAGGAGCACATATAGTTGTGAAAAGGAAATTATGTCTGGCGATAAAAATATTCATGACCGGCAATTGTTATCATTTTAAGGAAATGTCCATGTATCAAAGATCCTTGTTATGAGAGTGAAGCAACATTAGTTGTCTTTCTTTATTTAAGAAATATAAAACGGCGCGCGTGTCTCTGTCCTCTGATATAAACACGGTGGGAGTTCGAAAAACACGAGAAAAGCAAGCTTAGGAACACGAGCGTAGCGAGTGTTCCTCCTGCTTCTCGAGTGTTTTTAAACTCCCACCGTGTTTATATCAGAGGACAGAGACACAAGCGGCCGTTTTATATTTCTTTTATAAAACTTTTCGAGCGAAAAGAAAATTTTGCCGGTATGCCGTGTCTCTGTCCTCTGATAAACACGGTCGTCAGCCAATCAGAGCGCGCGTTATATATCAAACATTTTATATTTTTTTTATCAAGGCTGCTAGAACTGAAATTATGACCCATATTGGTTCTTCAAGGTCGAGTTGATTAATTTATTTTTTAGGCGGTAGTAGATATTATTATATATCAAGTGTCAAAGTTTACTTTTCTTAGTATCGTATTGGTCGAGACTGTACCACGTGGAAGTCACAAAATTTTACTGTTTCCCGGCAGCTGTCCACCAGTGGACAGTCAATAAGTAGAAGGTCGCAGAAAAACACTCTTTCCCTCGGTTCCAGTGAATAAGTGTTAAACGTTTAACTTATCTGATGAAATGTATCGACTATGTTAAGTTGGATAAATTATGCAACTTATTGAACTTGAAGAGCKAATATAGGTCATAATTTCAGTTCTAGCACCTTTATTTTGATAAATTTGCCCTTTTGCTTGGTGGCGGCAGTATCAAAACAATTAGTCAGATTATTAGTCGGTCGCATTTACTATGTGTTTTGATCGACCATCCGTGATCCACTAGACCTCGTGGTCTAATAGGCCTAATTCAGTTTTGTCCAGGGAGCAAACATTAGAAGAAACCGCAAATTTGATCGACAAGCTCTCCTTCATTCATTCCTACACCAAGTGTTGTTTTCAGAATACGTGAGATGTATCTGCAAATTTGGCATTCCTGGAACCGATAGATTTTTTTAATTAAAAATAAATTCAAAAAATAGATGACATGGCTGTAGTTTACTTGTGAAAAGGAGTAAATCCCATCGAATCGTTGCGCAAACTACGTCAGRAGAGTTCATGGTAGCAACCACTCTCATTTTACAAGCAGGCTCACTTGTTATATACAATGCAAAGATGGTGATCATTCGAAATGGCTCTGTAAAAGCATTGATTTCTTTGCTTCAAAAAGCCAGAATTGCAAGATATTTTAGAAATTAGTCATTCAAAGAATATTGTTAGACTTTTAGGAAAAATTATGGATTCAAAGTATTTCAGATTACGTCCACTTTTTGGTCACTGTGCAGCTTCAAACGAACTAACTAAAATATAACTATAAAATTTTAGATAAACCTGCTGAAATAGCAAAATGTATTTTTTTTGTCCCCTGGAGGACCTTGTGGCTATAATRAACATTACAATGTTAAAAACCATCATGGCAGCTATCGTGAATAAGACCTATTGAAAAGTTGTCATTGACTCGTATACCCTTCTATGTATCCTGTGAAGTTTTTCCAGTCAATTCTGTGTCCATCAAAGATTTTCCTACTTCGATCTCTTCCATTCAGGAGCTCAGTAGGAAGTGCCCGGTTTACTCTTTTGTCATTATAACATCCAACTTTCTCATAGTTCCTGTCGCACTTGTCATAATTCCCAGAAACTGAAATCCAGATTGTAAATGAATGAATTTGCATCCTCATTTCTAAATGACTTTTATCGACCTGTCTGTATTTATTACGTACAGTGTTATTTTCAAGGAGTTTAAATAACTCTACCAATGGAGTTAAAGCTACTCTAGCTGKAGCAGTAGCACTCGAGTACCTTTATATAACGCCTGATCAGATACAATAATGTTTGATTCTATGGTGAGCTGATTCTATATAATGTAAATAATTGAATGGTGAAATATTCCTGCATTATTTCAGTGTTGCGTCTTGGAGTTATGAAGGTTCAATATTACAATACATGTTAATGTACATGACGTCAAAGAAGACGGCTTTATTAGATATACGAACTTTGAAGGAGTCGCTTAAAAATGGTTTCATGACATTAAATGTATTGTAGGCAATGTGGGGAATAACCATATTCAAAGATGGCGTTCACGTACAAAAACATTTTTGATAGACTATCGGTTCATAGTGTGTCTGTGTGAGGTTTATCATGATTATGTTTTTGTGCTCTTCGGTTTGAAGTAAGGAATTTTTGGTAAAGAACTGTGCTTCTGTGAGAATGTTAGTTTACGCGCATCTTTGTATCTGTTCTTAAAAGTGCTAGCTTATTGATCTATATTTTTCCGTTGGTCTGYTTCTTCAGTTTGACTGTTTCTTTCTCTAGATGTCTTCTGATTCGTGAAAACTTACCCGCAGTAAAAGACACTACTATAAAGGCAATGCCAACAGCAAACGAAGYTTTGATATTCATCATGATTCACGAGCGTCTGGAGAAATAGGCAATAAAACAAAATACAAGTGAACATGAAGCCATCGACAATTCTAGTGATCTCAACTTAGAATACTTTCAATCTAAGATTATGAAAGGATTTTCATAAATTCTCTGATTCATATCAATATTAAAATGTCTTAAGCAGGAACAAATGAAAATATGTAGACCCTAAAAGATACAACGAACATCCACGCTGTTATATATGGGACTCAATCCCCCTCCAAAGGGACCCGGGATGGACCTTGACGCTAGATTCAACTCTCACATGCTACTTTACTCACAATTCAATCGAATTACATARTCACCCAAGCATCAAAAGATGAGTGTACATCTTACGAAGACGTAAAGTGAGAACCCTCATTTATGCATTTCATGCTGATTGTACTACGTAACAATTTGACTTTTTAGAGAGAAAAAAAGGCTACGACAGGGGGAGGGGTAGAAGGCTAAAAATAAAAGCTTTTACAATTTTCATATCGCATACCCGAGGTCTGGTTGTTTATTTTAGAAGTTTCAATAACATATTCATGCACAGTCTAGTGATGTCAAAACAATYAAGAATCACACCCACTCACCATTAAGTCAAGCATAGAAATTAAGATGAGAGATACCTCTCATAAATCATATACTTCTTACACCATACACAAAGCGATTTTTATTAATATTTGATGAGTCCCTATAGTTTAGTGAACAATATTAAAAAGACTTTGAAGATGGAGTTTAGTAATAAGAATCAGTCAAAGTYATGCGTCAAAGTTACTTTTGCATGGATACAAATCATGAAAGTCCTTTCAGCCAACYCTGGGATCTTGCAAGAAGAGTTCCTGATTCGACGAGTGAKCTCTTTCTCAYTGTATTTATTGAAAAATTTAACTTTGGCTGCATTTTGTATGTTCGAAAAAGATAACAATTAAAAAAAGGACTCAAAATAAACTAAATGAAAACGTCACTAAAAGTCTAAAACAACGTACAATTAAGAATATAGAGCTGAAATATATATAATATCTACGGCTATTGGCAATTAATTGGCTATTGAGTAAGAAGGAACAAGTAACAGCAAATGTTACYCCAACTCATATATTTTGTTACTGAATAGTGACTTTTCTTAAGAAATATGCAACTTATCCCATACCTGATAATTCAGTTGTTCATCGATGAAGATGCTGAAGCGTATGGATAGTCTTATGKGTTGGAGATGTGCTATAAGKAATCAGTCAATCAACCGATTAACGATTTCATCGAKARTGATCACCAAGTGAAGCTAATTTCAATGAAAGCCAGTCAGTKATTGTCGATGAACCRTTAGAGCGTTTACTTATTTCCCTGCGGCAGCAATGTAATTGACGAGATATTTTTTTTTATAATGGAACTTAAATATAGAACTCATTGTCGTCTCAAAACTTTCAAAATGATGGTGGTATTCTTTCCATTACCTGTTTTATGTTTTTGAATTACTTTAAAAAAATTTAAAATTATATTTATTAATCATTAAATTGATTAAAGTTTACGAAATTAAATGTACCACTTATTGCCTCCGCATTACAATTATTTTGGTTGTGAGTTTTCTTAAAATATGAAAAAATTTGCTACTTTCTGTTTCCGCGATAACATTGCAGATCTTCATACGTGAGGGTCTGTGGGCTAATTCCAATATTTCATTTAAAAGAATCGGATATAAATAAAAAAAAAATATATAAATAGAATAAATAAAGAAAAAGCCACGCAACTTGTAACTATAGGTTTTCTACTTTTTATTGTACGTTTCGGCACTTCGGCCTTCTTTAGCAAACTCTATATATATACATAGAATGAAATTATACAAAACACCAACTTAAAGCTATAATATCTCTGATTAATTACGGCAATTCGGCCTTCTTCAAAAGATTTGCAGYTAACAGTTTCCCCTTACTGAATGTATTCAGCTAGTTCATCAAGGAGACACGCGGTGGTTCCAATATCTAGAGTCCATTCTTCAGTGAAATTAATCAAAGAGTAATTATAGTAAGGAATTCCTTTGATGAAGCGAGGTAGCCTCTAGATTTTAGGGAGTGGCAGAAATATGTAAAAAAACCAGAACCATCCGACAATTTGGCATATAGTAAGACGAGTGATAATCCAAGGATGGAAAGCATACTGTGCAAATTCAACTTTTGAATTATGTACAGAAGATCGTAATGACAGCTATATTTCGATTTTATTGCAAAATCATTTTATTGCAGAAATATGTACAATTGAAGATTTCTCAACCGTGCAACTTACAATGAATTACTTATATATCATCTGCGTTAAACAGTATTTGTATAATACAAGAATAACCATCAATGGTAGTTGGTTATTCTTTAAGAATTTGCTATTGGYGATCGATTTTATGACATATTACTGATACAATTTGCAGATAAAAGCAAGTGGCGCGATTGATTATAAACCAATCATGAATGACTAATAAGCTTGGCCTACGTCAACAAGCAAGTTKTCCGAATTAAGCGTTGACAGGKTCATTATATTTATAAAACAAAGAACAAAAACTTGCTTAGATATACAAATATATCAAATCAAAGGCCAAACAAGGCAGGTGAAAATTTTTATAACTACAATAATATAGAAGAGTACAGTAGGGTTAATAGATAACATTAAAAAATTGAAAATGATAAATAAATAAATACATTAATATAGTAATTGAATAAATTGAAGAAAAAGGCACACAACTTGCAACTAGTATTTCTACTCTTTATTAGAACATTTCGGCACTTCGGCCTTCTTCAGCAAACTGAGTGTTTTGCACGCGCCATTGCTACATTAATATAGTATATATAGATATGATCTACCATATAATTATCCATTTAATGCCTAAATTTCTCCATTACGTAAAGTTGTTTCACTAGTGGAAATAACACATTCATGGTATCTCTATATATTGGAGGTGAACAAAAGCTATTTAAAAAAAAAATAATAATTTGCTTTCGTTGATAAAGATAAACAGAATATCGCTACGTTCACAGGTGAGAGATCTTTTCAACACTTGAAGATAACATCTGTATAATATGCTCTCTATATATAAGAACTGAGTTGGATAAATAACACTCATGGCAATAAATGGTTAGACATGATTAAAAAATGATAATAATTTTTAAAGTAATGCACTAAAAGACAAAACATAAAATAGGATGTGTCTATTACTGGTATGTTCTGATAATTCRCTAGTTGTTTATCTAGCCTGAGATGCCGTGATATCAGCCCACTATGAATAAATCATTAAATTGTTTATGAATATCAAGAAATATCATGGYAAACCCCTCAGGCGGCTTAGTGAGATGCTCTAAGATTTGAACTTCCCCTAGATGATTCGAAATTGTGCAATAAGTGTTATCACGACTAAACAACAATGAAAATATATTATTTGTAAAAATGCAGAGAAATCATCACATACTGATCACACCAGTGCTAATACAGTGAACGAGAATGCTAATTATCGTCCATTCGAACAGACAACCGTGGAAATATTTTTTTTGCGCAATCAATCTAGACAAATGAAATCAAGTACGACCTGTACGCGGGACTGCGCAATATTTATCAGGAGTGGGAGGAGGTGGTGGGGGTTAGCTATTTTTTTCATTTTTAGGCTCATTTCTCAGTCCCTCTCCCCTCTCTGATAAATACTGCGTAGTCCCAAAGAGCGCCTAAAGTGAACCAAAGATGCCATTTGATTCACATCATGCTGCATTGAGATATTCTATCTATTAGAATTAAATATGCTTTTAAATTGACTTCTTAGAGATACCATAACAACCAAACTCTGGAATTTCTGTTGCTTAAGACTCAACCCATCTAGTTATGTAATCATTTATTAAACAAGAATATACACAGGCCCCCGAGCGAGAAGGGGTGATGCATATCCTGCGAAATCATCTTCTCGAAAAGTTGAATTGACGTTTAAACAAATATCAAATATAATATTTGCGTTTTTATTTTATTTTTTTAACTTCGCAAAATTGTCTTTTTTTGTAGCCCGCATAGCCAAACAGCAGCGAGAGGGAAAAAATCGACATAATTTGTCAAACGAAAACATAAATAAATAAAAAGCATAAAAAAAGTCTAGCCTACATTGTTTTTGATAAATATATTTATTGCGTTTTAGTATTATCAGTGTATCGTTAATACACTAGTGGAACGCTGTGAGCTATGGATGTACGTAGAGATTCTAGCTACTAATATATGATATATAATGTAAAACCCATTCTACCATGGAATTAAGAATAATTTGCATARTTCTTTTCGTTATGGGTTACCAGTAGACGAACGTCATGGTTTTCACGCCGAATGTGTCCAAACATTACAGTTTTATGTACACTACTTTTATACTTTTTTGTACTTTTATGTACACTACTTGTTTCGTCTTGAAGCCTTCACTGATAACCTTGCATTTTTATAAGTAGTTATAAGTAGTTTGGTGAATAAACCTTGCAATTTTTTCAGAGCCGGAGAGGTTCTTGCAATATAATTGTTATCATTGTCGTTCATCTTAAAATTAAGCGTACAAACTTGCCGCAGAGTACTTAAGTCATCGAGCTGACAATATGACACAGAAAACCCAGTTTAATTGATTTACATCTGCAGATTGCTACATACATATGACATTCTGTTAGAAACTGCTAGAATGGTAAAATTACCAAATATATTGCGGAATCACCTGTCTAGTAGCTACAGCGTGGAAACAACTAAACGTTAATTAGTATCCTGTGGTTTTCATCTCTAGTTTGCAATTTTTTTGTAAAAGTTTATGCTCCATCTTCGTCATCTTTAATTGGTAACGACGGGACATCAAAGTTGATAAAAGAAAGTAGACGAAAACATTCATTTTGTGTAGATCTCCAATAGATATACTACTGTGTGGCGTCTGTGATCTGCCATTCTCGTTTCATTTTTATAATTCCAATAAATGCATGTCGATATCGACTGCTTCTYAAGCAATAGATGACTGGGTTAACGGCACTGTTGCATAGAAGAATAGAGTAAAACCAATAAAATCCAATAAAAAAATCCAAACTCTGGGTATCTGATTGGGAAATTGTGTAGGCAAGAAATGGGACGTAGAATAACAAATAGACTCCTACAACCAGAGCAATAGTTTTAGCTGCTTTTCGTTCTTGACGCTGTCGATTTGGGTTTGAAGATGTWSTGTCCTGAACAGGTTGAACAGTGATTATTTTATTTTCCTGTTTTTTGGCAACAAGAAAAATGTAGATGTAGATCGAAATAGTGGATAGCAAACATGTTGAATACAAAGCCCAYACGAAATAWTTTGCAAGGTCATCAAGAAAATACATTGCAACAGCAACAAGAACTGACGTTACCCAACAAGAGCAAATGACAAAAATTGCACGTATTTTGGTGCAGTAGAGGTGGTACTTAAAAGGACGACGAAYAGCTAGAAATCGATCAATCGTGACCGCGAGCATAGAGGTTAATGTTGCAGGGCTTCCAACGTTACCTAACTGTGTRAAAACATTCAGAAGTATATTCTTTTCGTGAAGGTCTTGAGCAAAATTGTTRTTAGCTTTGTGTATCAGTAAGGGCTGACGTATYGCCGTAACAATTAGGTCTGCAGACGCTAAACTGAATATGTATAAGTCTGGAATCGATTGAAGGCACTTGTTTTTGCATATAGCCACTAAGACGAAGATATTACCAAMTGTCCCTGCTACAGAGAATATTGCGTTGAAKACAGTCATTCCAATAATCCATTCAGAAGGATAAATTAGTCCTGAATCACCAGAATGATTTCCTATAGATGAGCCGTTATCCATTGTTTCACTAGCAGAAACGATGATTCAGACTAAAACCAAACCTTGTTGTTAATTGCCGAGAATGGATGAACGAGAGATAGTATTCTCTGTTATTGCGTTGTTTTACAAAACTTGCCTTTTGTGAGATTATAATTTCGACGTTTTAGCTTATGAGAAGCGCTGCCTATTGTTAAGCCCAGTTGTGTAGTAGAGAAAAGGAATCTGCTGGACCACAATGGAGTCAGTCMGTCGCGGCAGTGARAAACCGTCGGGAAGACGTAGTATAACAATCTTCTTTCCTTTTGTTGACTGAATTTTAGATCTTTCGCTGCATGTATCATCTACCTGCTGATTATAGAAATAGAAACTTTCAGCTTGCATAAAACTTGCCTTTTAGACATAAGATTGAAATTTCGGACCTTTTGACCAGCACCACCTAGTGTTTAAGTCAATTTGTAGGAAAAAAACAATTCTGTTTGAATATTGCTGATCGACTTTCATAACTTTCGCAACATGTATGTTGTACTTGCCTTTAACAGAAGGAGAATCTTTCAGGTTAATGACACAAGGCTATCCTTTACAAAGTTTCTTAGCTACTATATCACACAATGCATGAAATCTCTCCACAGCTATCGTAAGACAGCTGCTATATTTCCAACCTTGAAATCTCAAATCATTATCAAAAATTGAAACTTAATTGCTTAATTTATGAAATTCCAGTTTATGTTTGAATATAAGATATTATAATGTATATATTTTCTTYATTTTTACCTCGACTGCTTTGATTTCCCTTTATGGCTTTTTTACCTTTATTCCTCTTTCCAATTCTTTTCATTTATCATTATTATGAAATTATTATACTTGTTGTTAATGCTGTCTCCTTCCCCTATGTTAATTCCTTGTTTAGTCTCGGTTCTTGACTTCTTATTTTGTCCTTTTTCTTCTTGCTTTAAATTTCTTCTTTAAAATCGTTCTACTACAAGAGAATCCTTCAGTTTCTGATAGTCTATTACACTCCCACTTTTTCACATTTCATACTTATTCTTTGTATAATCTCATTTATCGCTCTYGTGATCTTGTCTTGGTTCTTCCTGTTCTTTTGATATCAACCGTTTAAATATTCCTCAAAATTTCAACCAAGCATCAGTGACAGGAGTGAAAATATCCGCTCGTCAAATTTCTAGGCGAACATTCTGCAACAAATACTTATGTAGTAAAGGTAAGTATTCCAACCAAAGAAATAGTACTAGATATACTATAGATATATCACKACTTCAGAATAAACGAGGCGATAATCTAATGACAGTCGTGAGTTATTCCATATTTCGTGTGAATTTACTTTGCAGTTATTTGCATATCATGTCAAATTAACAATTTGGTTTCGTTTTTCCTCAAATACAATACATGTCACCAGTGAAACGTATTGTAGAAATCACCATGACTCTCTTAAAAAAAKAAAAATATAAGATGAAACTTCTTCTTAGCCAAAAAAAGTTCACTTGTTTCTTCAGTTTAAAAGAAAAATTCACGAATACATTAGCTTAATCCAWTAGAGCAAACACAGGCTCCCAGCTGTTTAAATACTGAAAAAAGAGAGCTTGTGTGGTATTTGCTTTAGGTAGAAAAGAATAAATGAAACAGTTTCATCACTACCGTACATGGGTATATGACCTATCAAATCTTTATTTGTTATTCTACATTTGAGTTACCTTGTTTCTTTATATTTTTTTTCTCTGACTGCAGCATCAGTGCTTGCCTAGGATCCCATTTCCCTCAAAAAGTATCCCTGTCACGTGATCCRTTCTGATCAAGAAACTTATTTTAGTGTTCTTTAAAAGAGCATTTCTTTTCTTTTTATTATGATTTCTTATTTTTTCTTCCCTTTTCAGATTTAAGCAATTTCCCTTTATTTTGAAACACTGACCAAACATCAAAGAAGGCCGGCTGGAAWGAAAACAAATGTGTCTTTTGAACAGAGTTTCTTTGATATATCGGAAATCACGTGACGACTAAGTTTCACAAAAAGTGTAAAGCAATTTAAAAAGAAACTCATGTYTGTACGCTTATTCATGCATGAACCATAACTTTAGGGCAATAGCCATATATTTGGTAATATACATACATAAACTTTTATTCTGAAAACAAAATCCTATTTTTAGTAAACAGATAAAGGATAATTGGCTTAGTTCATTATGACGCGAYCARAACATTCTATTGTTTTAACGCTAAGGATTATGGTCGCCAGAAGGGATCAGAGTTACGGCGTATCAAATAAAATKTACATGAACAATCATTTATACATGACATATATCAAAACAMGATTCATTGAAGTTCTRCTTTAGTAGACAATATAAATGGGTCCAAWTTTCCACTTTTTTGARCATCKTTCTCCGATGTAAACATACTTTTACTTCATAATGAAATAGGGCAATTTAAAGCTTTCCCATTTTAGKTTATGCTTTTAATTTGCACCGGCCAATGCCGATCCTCCTTTTCAGTCCACTTGGAGATAGATGACTTTTAAGACCCGGTTACACTTGCAATTTTTGAAGCGCGATTGTCGCGCAACACTCGCCTGAGTTTCGAACATGCTTGAAATTCAACTGGAACTCGCGGTGATTTTYGATCGCCGCGACAATCGCAGGGCTGTTTACACTTACGATTTGAGATGCGCGAGAACATATTTATGTTGTCGCCCAACAATCGCACTGCAAAAAYTGCAAGTGTAAACGGGCCTTTAGATTTCGACGTATCTGTGAAAGTTAGCWCTGAGCTAATGAGAACGCTAGAACGATCGACGAACACTAAAACGCTAGTATGCTAAAACGCTAGTATGTTAAAACGCTAGTATGCTAAAACGCTGGTATGTTAAAACGCAAGTACGCAAACACGTAAGTCGCCATAATATTATAACTCTTGACTAGAACGCTATGCTAAAATGTATGTATGCTAAAACGCTCGTAAGCAATAACGCACAAGTAACTTATAATCGAAGATTGACGTCCTAAAGAATACAGAAGCTCAAAAAGCTATAGAAAATCGGAGAACAACGTAAGGATCCGTGGGAGATATGACACTTAATATTTWTAAAAAGAACGACAACAAGCTTATGAGATGTTAATTCGCTTTTCTTTTCTTTTTCAGCAGAAACCGTTGCATCGCGACTTCAATGTTCAAAGGAAATAGTTGGGATTTAGGTTTTTCTGCGACTTGGGGGCGGAGCTTGATACTAATCAGCCAATTATTGAACGAGTTTTCGAAAAGCTCCGCCCCTCAGGTTGAAAGAAAGAACAAAATCCAGACAAACTTCAAAACAAAGAAGTCGCGATGCAACGATTTCCGCTGTAATCTAAAATATTGACAGTAAAGCTTCTTSTATTTGCTRTTCGCAACTGTAGTCTTTACATAAYCATTGGTCCGGYAGCAACTATATAAATCATCATCACATACGGTTATACACAAAGTCTGTAAGGCTATGACAAATAACGTATCAAAATATTTAGATACTTTTTGGCACAGGGTGCCCGTCACTTCACTGAATTTCTATAATCTAAGATGAAATAAGAATACATCCTAGAACGATGCATTGTATTGCTACCGGAATATTTCAATTTGGTATGGACAATCCCTCCCATCCACTTCAAAAKGTGGGTCTTTAATTCTCTTAATGTTTAGCATTGCCCGATTTTATACCGTGGGAGACTGGGTACAAGTCCTTTAATTCGCACGATGGTGATGGTGATATAAGACTTCAATAGAACGAACGATCGCACTGCAAATACGAATCTCACAAAGTTTGGTGTTTATCTGATCGATTTCAAATATTTTCTAGATTTTACAAATAGTACGACCGGCATTCTATACATTTCTTCGGAAATTCTAGCGTTCTTTTTTAAAGGCTGTCAACTGCAATGTTGATCTGATCGACGCCAAATTCGGACATTCAGTATTTTTTAATACATTCTTTCGTTCTATATAGATTGTATTGAGACATCATGGCAATTAAGGGACTTGTACCTAGTCTCCCACGATATGAWATYGGATAATTGATAGTCTCCTTTTGAGKCTCGTTCTTAGATCTCTACTASCCGCATAAMGGCTTCGAGAGAGACTAAGCATTATTACGCTCTGTCAATCAAATTTTTGAGGGATAGTGTATATGATGTTAAACATATCCCTACAATATCCCTATAATATCCCTACAATATCCCTATAATTTTGAGTGCTTGCATAGCGTCTAAAAATATTGTACAAAGAAAATCATCTTCCCATTATACCTCCTCCCTCCCACATGCTCAGATGCTCAGATCTTTAACATACTCATTAATCTTAAAGAGTCAGAATTACTATTGAATATGATAAAATTTAGAAAATTTATTGTGAAAGAAAAAGAGCTATACAGCTTTCGCCTCATGACGCGGGATCCGGATCCATTGGATTCCGGACTYWTCCACGAATCGMAATATTTCGCAGTGATCCTGGATTCCAYCAAATTGRATTCATGCAGGATACAAAACATCCTCGATCTTTTTCGTAAGMATWTCATTYACAACTAGGAARCCTTTGSCGCAGATTGYCCRGAKAAGTCCATAGTTTCATGAATCCAGGTCAAAATKTTATTCTGAATTCCGTGTCATAGGGCGACACCTCTATCAATATATYTTCGATTAAGTGCCTTGCTTTAACAATTTKTTTTTATTGTAGAATATAACTCAGCGATTCCTWTCTACTTATRGCCAGTTAWGTTTTGGAGGCCTCRGTTYMMMAAARSYYCYMMMAWT